AAAAAAAAAAAAAAAAAAAAAAGCTGTTAGATAAAAGCAATGAATCACTTCTAAAGGTAAACTAATTAGAATTATAGCAAACTTCTCAACACAAACCTTAAAGAATAGAACAGCTTGAAGTGTTTTAAATCCTAAAGAAAACAACTTCAAATCCAGCCTGATATATCCTGCAAAACTATCTTTCAAAATTGATGGAGAAATACAGTCTTCCCATGATAAACAGCATCTTAAAAAATCACAACCAGGATTAGCTCAGTGGCGCAGTGCCTGCCTGGCAAGTGTGAGGTCCTGAGTTCGATTTATAGTACCCGCCCTCCCCCCAAAAGTCATAAATCATCACTCCAAAAATATTCTCAAGGATATGCCAGAAAGAGACAGTAAGTAAAGGATACCAAAACATCCAATGAAATGAATACATCAGGTAGGGTGAACACTTCAGCAGAAGCGGGGAGAAAAAGGAATCAGCAACAGGAAAATAAAGCAACGACGGGAATAAGTCAACACCTTTAACTAATATCTCTCAATGTAAATGCACTCTACTACCCAATCAAAAGAAACACATTGGTAGACAGGATCGAACAGTCCCAACACTCCAGAAGCTGAGGGAGTAGGATCACAGTGAGTTTTAGGCCAGCCTGGGCAACACAGTGAGTTCAAGGCCACCTGCAGTACAAGGCAGTGTCTCAAAGAAACCCAGAAAACAAAACAAAACAAACAAAAAACCAACAGTATACCATATACTAGAAACACATTTAATCCAAAAAGAAATTCATACACTAAAATATCAAAGAATGAAATGCAATACTCCATGCACCAAGAATCCAAAAACAAGCAGAAGTAGCTTATCCTATTTTTAGACAAAGTGGACCAAAAAGAAATTCATACACTAAAATATCTAAGAATGAAAAACAATATTCCACACATTGGGAACCTGAAAACAAATGTAAGTAGCTTATCCTATTGTCAGATAAAGTGGACTTCAAGCTGAAACTGATCAGAAGAGGCAAAGAAGGTCACCACACACTGTTTGATATAATAATTGAACAGAAAGAGGTCACAATTATCAATATATATGCACCAAGCAGCACACAAAACATAAAGGAAATGCTACTAGACACAAAAGAAAAGATAAACATCAGCGCAATTATTGTGAAGAACTTCAATGCCTATCACAAATAGGTCAACCAGACAAAAACATCAACAAAGAAATAGCAGAGTCGAACCACACCTTCAAACAAATGGACTTAATAAATATCTACAGTGTTCCATCTAACAATAGAATATGTATTCTTCTCAGTAGCATACAAAACCTTCTCCAAAACAGACCACATACTACCCCAGTGATGGCAAAACTACAGCATGTATGACTGAAAGATCTAAAAGGTTCACCGTCACAGTAGTAGCTCGCAGGCTTAAGTATATACAGAAGAGCTGAAATTACCCTATGCATTTTATCAGATTATAGTACAACGAAACAAAAATCAATAGCAAAGAGACCGCAAGAACTATGTAAACACATACAGGGTAAACAATATACTTGCTAGGCATGGTGGTGCATACCTGTAATCCCAGCCCAGAGGCTCAGGAGGCTGAGGCAGGAGGGTCACCATGAATTCAAGGCTGTCCTGGGCTACATATTGAATTTCCCCAAAAATAAGAATGGGTCTTACACTAATTTTTGATCCAAAAGACACAACTGAGGGCTGGGCATGGTAGCACATGCCTGTAATCCCAGTACTCAGGAGGCTGAGGCAGGAGGATTGCTGCAAGTTCGAGGCCAGCCTGGGCTACAAAGTAAGATCAAGGCCAGCCTTACCTGCATAGTGAAACCCTGTCTCAAAAAGACAAAAAAATAAAATAAAGTAAAATAAATAAAACACAATAAAAGTTATTTTCAGGGGAAACCTTATGTTTTCATGTACAACAATCTACATTTATTCATGTACAAAAATCCACATTTATTCAAATACAGTCACATCATCTACTTCTGGAACATCATCATAACTCTCCAAACCTCAAATTCCAGCCTGAATTTCTTGGGACTCCATCTCCCGTAGAAACATAGGTCTAAATCTCTCATGTCCAGCAACAGAGTTCTCCCTAAACGAGCAGTTTTTATCCTTCTAGTCTGCTTGCAGTGCACTGGCAACAGAGCTGTTAGTGACTTTGTCCTGTGAATTCTTTACCCAAGTCATGGCCTCTTGCAGCCTGGGCTTCACAGTTTCCATTAAATCAAGACTTACAAGATAAGATGACGATAAAAGGGGGCTGGGGATTTAGCTCAGCGGCACAGCACCTGCCTGTCAAGCGCAAGGTC